TGTTGAGGCTGAATGTAAACATGTTGAGATCCTGGATGACTACCATGGAGATCATAGAATCATAGAATATCAGGGCTGGACAGGACCTCAGGAGGTCATTTAGTCCCACCCCCTGCTCAAAGCAGGACTAATCCCCAGACAGATTTTTACCCCAGTTCTCTAAATGGCCCCCTCAAGGATTGAACTCGCAACCCTGGGTTTAGCAGGCCAATGCTCAAACTACTGAGCTATCCCTCCCCCTCAATAGCTGCAGTGTTAGCTGCCTCCACCAATCCAAAGTGGGAGCAGCTGGCTTTGTTCTTACCACAGCTCGGGGAGAACTGGGGATTTCTTCTCTCTGGTTTGGGCCAAACTGCCCCCCCATCCCCTTTCCGTATCGTCAAGCTCTGGATCGACCGGCCTAACCGTGACTCCAGAGCCTCACCTCAAACAAGTGACCTGCTGGGTGTGCCAGACAGCTCCTTGTCCCGCTTCCAACGATCCTCTGAGTCATTCCACCACCGGAGCCAGGGACTGGGCACTTCCATCCTGCCTGGGCTTCTGCGTTCCAGCTGGGAAGTGAGGGACAGGGAGCCAGCGTTCTGCTTGGGCTCATCTTAATGAGCAGAGACTGCCAGCTATGGGGGAATGTTCTCCTTGAAGGGTCCATTCTCTGTTCCAGAAACGAGAGTAATTTTGACCCATCTCAGTTGTTGGGGACCCTGTGGGGCTGACCCTGTGTATGTTGCAGCTCTGGTTAGTTGGTGTTAGGTATTAAATTGTCCCTCCCGTAAGTTAGCCACTGTCTCTGGGAAGGCTATTTCTGAGGAGGTTTTTTTCTCTAGGCCCGCGTGTAAGGGTATAAAAATGAGCTGTTCTGGGGTGGAGGCGAAGGGACTTTGTGTGACTGCAATTCCTAGTATGCAGCGAGGTATGTTGGTGGGATTCCCTTGGGGGGAACCCAAGCCTGTCTGGTGGAGCCACAACCGGCTCCATGGGACTGGCGTTAGCTGGCTGACAGGCTGGGATGAAGATATTCCAGGGCATCAGAGCGGGATGTCGAGACCTAGGATAAGTGGCGTGGAGACCCTCAGCGGCTACCAGCGTGTTCGTGTGTGACTCACCCTGTTCTCCTCTGTTCTGAACCTCCAGGGCCAGAACCCATTCGACCTGGAATTCTCCCAGTCAAGTCACCTGGATTCTGTCTTCAACTTTGAGTGCCCGCCCCGCCCCGGTGAGCTCTGCAGACTGTGCCTGACTTTTTAATACCCGGGTTGGGGAGGGATGAAGACTGTTGAATGTTGGTTCTTTCTCCCCATTCTCCCCTCCACCCTCCCTCGGGGAAAATGACCATGAAAATTCACCCTCCTCCCTCTTGAAAACAGCCTTCAGATGCCAGGTTGGTGGCGGCTGCTGGTGGTAGAAATACCGTCCCCAGCAGCTCTGATGCAGGGCAGTACTTAAGCACGTGTATGACTTTAAGCATGTGATGTGTGTAGCCTCCCTGAAGCCAACGGGGCTGCTTACTAGCTCAGATGCGTGTCTGGAAGATTGACACCCTTTCCAAAATCTGTCCCAAGCTTAGGCCTCATCTCCTGCTGTTTGCTAGGAGCCCACTTTCCTTCCCAGTAAAACTCACGTCCTTCAGGGATCCTCTCCCCAAACCTCTCTGCTCCAGTCCCTGAACTGTTCTCTCATATCATTGCCTTGTTCGCTTTGCGGTGAAGGCACCTGAGAACTAGGGTCACATCTGATCATATAAAGCGTCAATCAAGGACGCTACATCGGATCCTGTGTGGCTAATCCATACCTGAATCCAGAGGGCATATACAGGAGATGAGGGTTGCGCTGTATGGACGCTGGTGTGGTGTTAATGCTTTCTGCATGGCTTTGCTTTGGGACAGACATGCCTTCAAGTCAGCCCATCGATATCCCAGATACCAAGAAAAGGAACAAGAAGAAGAAACGATGCAGAGCCACGGACAGCTTCTCTGGGAGGTTTGAAGGTGAGAGGTGCAGGAATTCACGGGTCGGGGGGGGTCCTGCTGGCAATTCAGGGGGGCGCCGTTTGCCCTCGAAATCCTGGAAACCTCCTGCTCAAGCAGGCACTTAGTTTAATGAACTTCCCACCTGCCCCAGATCAGACCCGATTCAGCCATGCAGACTCACCTGAAGCGCAAAGCGCGGTATCATTTGATCACTAGCCGGGAACTGAAGCCGCAGCTGGGCTGTGCGGCAAGAACACTGTGCCCCGTCTGGCGTTGCAGCCGCACATCTCGGGCTCTGCACCGAGCGCCCGGGCTGGAGCTGACTTCTGCAAACCTCCCCACCCCCAGAAACCAAAAAAACAAACTGTACTGAAGTGAGGTCAATTCTGCTCCCCACAGATGTCTACCAGCTGCAGGAGGAGGTGCTCGGGGAAGGTGCCCATGCTAGAGTCCAGTCCTGCATCAACCTCATCACCAACAAGGAGTACGCCGTGAAGGTATGGGCTCTGAGAGGCCACGTGGTTGAGTGGGTAGGGCACCGGGCTGGCACTGGAGAGAGCTGGGTTCTGTTCCTGGCTCTGGCGATAACTTCCTTACTTTGACCTTGATTTCCACTCCCACCCTTAATTTGTCCTGTCCCTCTAGATGGCGTGTTCTTGAGAGTGGGCGCTTAGCATGTTGGAGCTCTGATCTCTGTAGGGACCTATTGATGCTACTGTGATACACCCCATAATGAGGCTGGGAGACTCGCCCCACCCCTCATCCTAGAAGCAGGAGGAGAGGGCAGTGGGAGGTAGCTAAGGCTTTAAACTGTCCATCCACCCCAAACTTGCCTCGGGCTGTCTGTGAGAGATGGAGACAGACTGGACTTTGGTGCTTAACACAATTGGGCTGGCTCTGCTTGGCCTGTTTTGATGGGCTTCTGCCATTAGCCTCCCAAGAGACAGAAGGCTCTGAGCCAGCCGTGTGCCCATCAAATGGCCTGAATGGGCCAGCGTTGGCGCTGGACCCTGCGGAGCGGGCGGCAGCGCTGTGTGCCCAGGGGAGGGGAGACGGCTCTGTAGTAACTGCTTGACTGAGCAAATCGGAGTAGCTGCAACTAAGCTCGATAAAAAGGGATCCTCCGAAGATCGCTGGGGAAAGGAGTCTCTTGAGAAGACTGGCTCACTGAGCGTAGGAGATCCCCTGGACCAATGACCGGTCCCTGTAAACTGCTGAGGGTTCGTCCCTGCGTGTGGGAGGGCAGCGCAGTCAGATCTTTACTCGGTCCTGGCTCGGTGGCGAGCAGATGCAGCTGAAGATCGTAGATATGGTCCAACTTAAACAAGGCGCCTGTGTAAGACTAGATCCCTCCCTCCCCCCCCCCCCAACGGAGATGGGCTCACTGCCTTGTGACATCGCTCAGCTTGCTAACCCCGGAGGGGGGGGGAGGTGGCCTTATAATTAAGGTGCAGGCTAGGGGTCATGAGAGCTGGCTTCTACTCTGGGCAGGTCTCTTTGCTTCTGGTTCCTCCTCTGTGAGGTGGGGTTGATCCCTACCGGGCGGGGGAGTCTGGGAGGGTAAATTAGGGCTCCCAAAGCACCTGGGGAGGACAGATGAGTGGAAAGGATTATGCTAGTGGGACGGTTAGACTCATTTGTGTGTTGGGCGTCTCGACGCCTCCCGGCAAGCGGGCGGGAAGCAGAACAGGTCCTGGCGAGCCCCCTTCCCCGCTGCCTGTGTGATTGCCTGCCAGGCTGTTGGGACTCCAGACTAAACCTGTCAAAGCGCAGTGCTCTGTCGGGGCTCAGATTAACGCAGCGATTCTCTGCAGGGCTCCCCGGAAAGAGCGCCGCTGTCTGGCGGTGTGCAAAGCTGGCACAGACCCGGCCTGTTTGCTTGGTGCTGCGTCAGCTGCACAGACCGGACAAGGGCCGGCCGGTGCCCCTTTGCACTGAATAGCGATTGGTTCCTTGGCATCAGGCGTCGCGATGGCGGTGTGCTGGCATCTATGCGGAAATGATAGGCCTTGGCTGGGTGCCTGTGTGGAGGGAGGGCTGTGAGGGGTTGGGGGGGGGCCTGCAGGGTCATGACCTTCTGAAAAAGGGAAGTGTGTTGGCTTTGGAGGAGAGCAGCTGTTGGCTGTTTGAGGGCTGCAGTCTCTGAGGAGCGTCTTTGCTTGTACAGGGGGCCGCTGGCCAAGCTGCCCCTGGGAGGGGAACAATGCTGCCCTTCTCCAGCAGCTTGGCACCGCCTCCTGCCTCAGCAGAACAACAAGGGCCGTGTGTATCGAACCAGAAATCAGCCCCTCGATTTCAGACACTGACGTTTTTTGCTGCAATAAAGCAAAGGGGAGAAGCCCTTCTGGGAAGTCTGAGGCCATTCCATGAGCCAAAGCTAGCGGCATGGCATGGAACTGCCCCGTACCTTAGTCATCAGGACGAGGATCTCAACGCACTTTCCAAACACCTGAGCCTCAGGCCCTGTGCTGGGGGTCTGGGAAGTAGAGTCACCCATGGGGAAACTGAGGCACTGAGCGGGAAGTGACTTGCCTGAAGTCACGCAGCAAATTGGTGGCAGAGGAAGGCACAGAGCCTAGGAGTCCTGACTGCCAGCCCTGCACTCTGCCCCATATGCTGCCTTGGTCTCTTCTTAGAGCTCCCTGCCCTGAGCCGCCTTTGCAGGAGGCTGTACTCTGACCTCTGCTCTACTGGTGTAAATCCAGAGCAACTCCACTGCAATCAGCGCTTACTCCGGATTTACTCTGCTGTGGCTGATCCCAGCCTGTGGCCCCGCTTATCTTGTATATTTGGCTGTCTTTGTACAAGCTCTCTCCCCACAGAGCCTGGGGAGGAGGGGGAGGGGGCCCTTATCCCTGCAGCCAAACCCCAGGGCCAGGCCTTTGAAGTATGCGTGGGCCTCTGTTTTGCTTGGCGCAGTAGACACGTGACCCTTTGTTTGGCTGTCCCCCTGGAATGAGAGCAGCTCCTCCCCTGCGGAGGGAAGGGCGTGGAGGAAAAACTGGCATGGCTAATGCTGTCACCTCCCTGAGGGGTGGGGGAAGGAAAGCAGCTGGTTAACCCCTTCCAGGATCTCTGAATGGAGCCAGGCTGCCTGGCTTGGTCCCTAGGACCACGGCAGATCTGAAATCTGCTCTGCTGAAGATTGCCAGTGGCAGGGCTCTGGGATTGTGTGGACAGGGTGCCGTTTGGCTTCTTAACTGCTCTAGGGGTGTGTTTTGGCTTGTGTAGCTAGGACGCTGTAGCAATCCAGTTTGGGATCTGAGCTCCAGCATCATTCCTACTAGATCCCCTTCCTGCTCCCTGGGACTTTGGGGGGGTCCAAGACTCCCCCTCCCCCCCTTGAGCAGCATAAGGGGCCATGGTCAGTCTCCAAACTCCTCTCCCTATTTCTGTTTCAGATAATTGAGAAGAGCCTTGGACACATCCGGAGCCGGGTATTCAGGGAGGTGGAGATGCTGTACCAGTGCCAGGGACACAGGTATGGGCGGGAAGGTCTCTGGTAGGCCTGAGCTGTACTGATTCTTGGGATCTCTGTTGCTGGCTGGGTGGGCGGGCATCACTTGAGCATACGGCTGAGATTTGCCACCCCACGGCTCTTTGCAATCCAGGGTAAAGGTGGGAAGATGTGCTTGCTGCCATCTTACCTTGGTGGGCCGGTATGTGAGTTAAAACCCTTCTAGAGCAATGAATATAGATCTCTTTTCAGCTGGGTTGACCCACCAGTGACCTGCTGAATGCTGGAGATGACTCCGAAGGGCTCCTCCCTCTTGTAGGCTGGGGGCAGGGTTTGGGAAGAGGGTGTTTGTTGCATTTGTGGAGCGTTTAGTCTCCCTGGGCAGAATAGTAAGACCAGCTCCCTGAGTGATGCTCTTTCTCGATAGCAGCGTGTTGGCCAAGGGAAGCATCTGCTAACAATTAGGGCTGTGGTATAGCTAAGTCGTGAAGCGGGGCACTGAAAAAACATCCCCTGGAATGCTGGGAAACCAGCTGTGGGCCCAGGGGCCTTCTGGTTCCAATAACTGAAACCCAGTTCTCCTTGGCGCCTGTCCCACGTCTGCACGCCCATGTGCGCTCGGGGCGTGGAGGAGCCAGCTCTGGGAAGGCCCTGCGGCTGGCTGGAGGGCAGAGCTGATCTGATCTGATCTCTCCCCCGCCCCCGTCCCCGCTCTCCTTACAGGAACGTCCTGGAGCTGATCGAGTTCTTCGAAGAGGAAGATAGATTCTACCTGGTGTTTGAGAAGATGCGAGGAGGTAAATATCCCCGCAGGACCTCTGCTGCCTCTTTCCGCTTCGTGGCATCGTTCACCTCTGGCTGGCGGGGCAGGGGCTGTGTTATGTAGGCCAGGGGCTCTCAACCTTTAGGGCCGGCATTAGGGGGTAGCGAGCAGGGCAATTGCCTGGGGCCCCACGCCACAGGGGGGCCCCACAAAGTTGCTCGGGCTTTGGCTTCAGCCTCAGATGGCAGGACTGGGAGCTCTGGGCTTCAGCCCCACACTGTGAGGCTTCAGTTTTCTGCCCTGGGCCCCAGCAAGTCTAACACTAGACCTGCTTGGTGGCCCCCCTGAAACCTGCTCGTGGCCCCATACGGACCCCTGGTTGAGAACCGCTGATCTAGGCTCCTTTCCCCCCCACCCCCCAGGGCCTGATGGAGACCCCTTCCGCCAGCTGGGAAGCTCACAGCTTGGCAAGGATGAGTCCCGTCATAGCCCATCACCATTCAGCAGTGCCCAATTCCCTCCAGACTGTCGCTGCTGGCTCTTGGCCTGCAGAATCCCTGGTCCCAGCTTCCCGAACGCTCTGGCGGGGAGGCTCTCTGGAGCCAGGGCAGCACGTCTCTGCCATTGTGTGTGTGTGGGGTGGGGGGGGGGGGTGAGGGGGTGCTGAGGGAGAAATGCGCGGATGAGGCCCTGCTAACAGCCGCCATCTTCCCTCCCCCAGGCTCCATCCTGACCCACATCCACAGGAGGCGCCACTTCAACGAACTGGAGGCCAGTGTGGTGGTGCAAGACATTGCCAGTGCCCTTAACTTCCTGCACAACAAAGGTGAGGCGCGAAGGCTGGGCACTTCCATGGGGTTGGAGGCATGGGCTGGGCGTGGGGGGGAAGAGTGGGTTCTTATTCCTCCTTGCACTGGGAGAGCCCAGGAGCCTAAGGCCTGAGTGTTTATGTCCAGCGCCACCCCTTGGCCACTAGAGACTCTCTGGGAGGACAGTGTGGTGGTGCTAAGGGAGCGGGGCGGGGACTCTGTGTAGCCCGTTCCCCAGGTTCCTAGGTGATCCCTTCCCCAGACAGACGTGGTGCCTGGCCGTGCCGGCCTGCCAGAGCACGCAGGGTGTCTTGGGCCCAAGCGCCTCTCTGGCCGTTGGGCTTCCCAGAGCGTCCCATAGCAGGGTGGATCAGGCCTGCCGATGAGGGAGCCAGCCCCCCTAGTCGCTGGGTCTTCCCCCCACCCTGCAAGCCCTGGGCTGGAGAAAAGCCAGGCTCTGAACCGTCCCAGGAAAGCAGCAGCCCCTGTTGACTCTGGGGTTTCTTGTTTTTAACAGGTATAGCGCACAGGGATTTAAAACCAGAAAATATTCTCTGTGAGAGTCCCGACCAGGTGAGTGGCAGGCGGCCTGGCTAGCAGCACGTCCAGAGACGCTCCACTCTTTTGCTCCCTGGCTTGGCAGGAGCTGGGGTGGCCTTGGAGGAGGGGAGCTCCTCTCCAGTGGGTGGGTCAGCCTATTGCTGGGATGTGGGTCTGGGCTCTTGGGGAGCCTGGGCCCTGCTTGTGTGGGGAGGGCACTGGTGGGAAGGAGGTAGCACGAGGTAGGGGAGGGGTCAGTGGGCAGCTAGACTGTGATGTTAACCCTTTGCATGCAGGTTCTCAGAAGGGGCCTGCCCCCCCTCCCCCAGGAGCAGGCGAACCAGAGAAGGAAGTCCGCTCCGAGCTGGGGGCCGGTTGGCTGACTGGGCAGTTTTGCTGTTGATAACCTCCTTTGTATTGCAGATGGGTGGAGGGCAAAGGCCAGATTTCCATTTGCTAAGAAGTGACTCCCAGGGGGGAGATTGCTGGGGTGATGCATGTGGGCCATGGACCTGTCTAGTGTGTGTGGGGATCTCCAGGTCACCTCTGGCCTTGCATGGTGAACTTCACAGGCGCGTCGCAGTTCAATTAAGTGATCGATGTCTTTGGCTCTCTCTGTCCTGTCCTAGGTTTCCCCTGTGAAGATCTGTGACTTTGACCTGGGAAGTGGCATCAAATTAAATGGCGATTGTTCCCCTATCTCCACCCCTGAGCTGCTCACACCTGTAAGTATTTCTGCCCCCTCGTTAATGTGAGAGGGGGTGACTTCGTTGGCTTTTGCGGGGAGGATGGGACTGTCACGGAGAGAGAGGTCTTGAACCATCGACTGGCTAGCTACCAGCTGACTTGTGGGAGTCTAAGGCTGCTTATAGATGTCTGGGAAGATGACCAGCATTGTGCATTTGTGGCAGGAGTCCTGGCCACCAGGGCTAGACGTCTATCTACAGATGCTGCCCGCTTGGCTCTTTGCTCTGCTTGGAGCACCAGCTGGACTTCGGCAGTTGCCTCTGCTCTGTCACCAGTGTCCATAATCTGTTGTTTTTAGTGGCTGTTGGACTTTTCAACAAGGCTCCATTTGCAACTCTGGCCCCCATAACTACCCTGTACCGCGCCTGGCACCGGCCCAGGGGCATTCCTGTAACTGGTTTTCCACCCAGAATAGAAACTGGGGGTTGTAATCCGGTGGGGAGCCTGAAACGTGCAGGCACAGCCAGGCATGCTGGGAAGGCTGTGGCTGAGGGAGATAGAACAGCCGTCCCTGGGTGATGGGGGATTCCTGAAGGAGACGAGCCTGATGTTGGGTGTCTCCAGGCAAAGGGCCTTCGAAGGGAGCTGAGAAACGTACCCTGCGGAAAGGGGGGAGCGTTAGGAAACCAGAGGGTGTGTGTGTGTGTGTGTGTGTGTGTGTGTGTTGCATACACTGGTCTCTGCCCCCTATGGGGTTGGGGCGATCAGAAAACCGGCTGTCTGCCGCGCGCCTGGTGCTGCTCTCCTGAACGCCTGTCCTTGAGAGGCTCGTGCATTAGTCATTCCTCTCGGAGAGGGGAGTGAATTCGAGAAAGGGTTACATAATGCGTTTTTAGCATGCCCGGCTTGCTTTCAAACGGGGGAGGAGGGTGGCGCACTGCCAAGCCAGGGCCGAGGAGAAGGTAAAATCGAGCCTTAGCAACAGCTGGGCCTATTGGCTGCCGGGAAGGAGCCGAGTGGCTTGGGCTGGGGGGGCGGGCTCTGCCGTTCTCTGGCGGAAGCTTACAGAAGTGGGTCAGGCGAGATGTGGCCGGGAACGGGATGGGGGTGGAGGGGGACGGAAGTCTCTGACGTGCGGCGTTGGTTGCACTGGGGTGGGGGCATGGGAGGTTGTTGGGCCCAGTGCTTTAGATTTCAGCGCCTCCTTCTACTTTCAAGGCTGGGGCGTGAGGACTCCCTGGCCTGCTTTTCATGGAAGTAGGGGCTGTGGCGCATAGACTTCCTTTTCTCCCTGCTGCCTAGGAGGGACTATTCTGATCTAGCGTGAGCTGGGCCAGAGAATCCCACCCCCGAACCGTCCCCTCTGCTCAGCCCATCTGCAGCCCGCAGCGTTTCCAGAACCCCTGTGGGGAGCAGGGCTCTCGCTCACCCGGGCAAACGCTGCTTGGTTCTGGGAGGCAAGAACTGCCTGGCACATGGGGTCGGGCAGAGCCCCCACGCCCTTGTTTACTGGCATCGAGGTCAGTTTGGGTTCACGTGTGCTTCAGGAGGGCAGCGCCGCGGCTGATGCAATGGTGGTATCGGGAACATCTCCTGAGCCTAGGAGCGCTGGGAACGCTGGGTGGGGGTGGGAATCTGGCGAGACACGCCGAACCCGCCCGCCCTCCAGGGGAACTCCCAGCCTATCTGCCCAGCCCCGCCCGGGTGTTTATCTCCGGGGCCGCTCTGCTTTGCACCTTACCCCCAGCGCGGCTTATACCTCCGGCTGGGGTTTCTTGGTGACAAAGTTCTGCTTTCTGTTTCCTATGCTGTTGCGGGGTGGGGGAGGGAGAGAAGCTGCTCTGAGCCCCTGGGGTGGGCATCAACCCTGCCTGGGTTCTCAGCTTGCAGAAGGTTGTTTTCCCCCCCCTCCCCCCCCCCATCAGCTGTTCTGCTGCTTGCCTCTCATTATAAGCGATTATCTGATGGCTGTGGGGTTGTTTCCCTCCCCCACAAGGCCTGTGTGGGCTGATCGGTCACATGAGCTGGGGCTGGAAAGCCCCGCCTGGGAGGGGGAAGGGACCTTGGAGACATCTGTGGCTCTGGTTACATCAGCTGTTTAACTCCTGCAGTTCCCGTCACTAGCTCACTGAATGCAGGACCTTCCAGTGCCTTGAATTCTGATGTCCATTATTTTCTCCCCTGGGGATCAGCCTGGGGCGGGCGGGGGTGTGTGGGTGGGTGGCTCAGCCAGTTTTTGGCTGTTGTTCACATCTGGGGGGGCCGTTGGTGTAACAGGAGATGGGTGTTGTTTTCCAAACAGCAGCCTCTTCCTCCCCCACCCCCCATACGGTGCATTTCCCTGATTACCTCTGGTGTCCTGGAGAGTGGATCAAGGTGGCTGCATGGCCCAAGGCACTGCACCAGGTTTGCTGTGTTTTCTGGAAGCACAGGTTCAAAACCAGCTTCGGGAAGACAGTGGAGAATTCAATAGGGAGGGATCTCTTCCTGTCCTTCAAGTCCGGTTCTTGCGAAGGGGCACCGGGCATTCAGTTCCAGCCCTGCTGCTCCCATTTCCAGGAAGAATGTGGGGGCAGAACCTTTTCCCCCCTCTGGGACCCTTCACTGTAGTAAAGAGGGAAGGAGCCTGTATAAAACGAACGTGCTGAGTTCAGAGGGAAACCTGCAGAGTGGAAGGAAAGGGCTGGGTGTGGTGTGGTCGGACGAGATGAGCTGTAACTTCTATTAGAACAGTGGTCCCCAAACTGTGGGGCATGCCCCCCTGGGGGGGGCACAGAGAAACATTCAGGGGGGCGGGGAGGGAGCACCACCCAGCCCTGCTCCTGGCTGTGGGTCCCCTGGAGGGTGCAGACCAGATGGGGGGTGGGGGAGGGAAATATGACCAAAAATGTTTGGGGACCACTATATTAGGCGGTCATGTGCTATCAATCTAGTGCCCGTCAAGGGTAGAGTTGGAACTCAAGCATTCTGGGTCCATCTTGTGACTTCATCCAGATTGTACCAAATGTAAACGGATTTGAGTGGAGGAGGCAGGATCGTCTTGAGGTTGAGCCACTGAGTTGGGACTTGAGAGAGCTGGCCCTCTGCTAGCAAATTTACAAGGAAGGCGAGGATCTCGGACACTGTAGTGACGGGACAGTGGCATATGTGCGGAGAGGCCGTGTGGTCTAATGGGCTGAGCACTAGACTGGGATTCAGGAATCTTGGGATCTATTTCTGGCTCTGTCATTGGCCTGCTCCTTGGGCATGTCACTTCTAACCCCTCCGTGCCTCAGTTTCCCCCATTAGTAAAATGGGGATTATGATGCTAACCTCTTTTGTTAAAGCACTTTGCAGCCTGGTCACAAAAAGTGCTACATGAGAGCGAAGTATTTATTATTAAGATAGATATTTAGATACTGGGGGGGACTTATAGAAAGTTGCTTTTCTCCAATGATTAGCCAGAGTACAGCCAGGGATGTAACTGATCCGTCTCCTGCGGGGACACCTGGGTGTCTTTACTGTGTGCGTCGTTCCCTTTGGCTCAGCCGGTGGTCCCAGAGTCGTGTCTAGTTCCGCCCTGCTCTTCAGTGGCATGTTGGGACCTCGGGGGATGTTCATGAGGTGGCTGTGTGCAGCCCTTCCAGGAAAAATGGATCTGCTTACAGCTCGTGGTCATCCGCTCCTGCCAAAGCAACGCTTGGGAACAATTTCCCAGAGGGACTGTTGTGCCTAGTTAGCTTGGCTTGAACCGCTGGGTTATGTCTGGGAGCCTGATCTCAAGAGCTCTGGGCAGAAAATCCTGGAAGCCCCAGTCAGTTGTTAAAATAACTTCTCATCTCCTCTACCTCCTCCCACTCTGAATACGGAGAGCGGGGCGGGCAGGGGCTGACCTGGGGGGTGTAGTGGTTCTCTAAACTCATTGGCTCACAAAATAAGCCCTGCCCTCCTGAGGCGAGGTGCAGACGCTCGGCCGGGCTTCCTGAGCCAGCTTGCTGCAGTGTGGGTCCAGCGCTCCCTGCTGGTGGAGCTTGGGTGGACAGGGGCACACTGCACTTCCCAGTGCCGTTGCTGGTTCCGCTACCACGCAGTCGCCTCTTTGGAGGTTTTCTTTGTAAGCATCGGCGCTAGAGACTCGCCCTTAAAAAGAGAGACTGGCAGTTCAGGGGAAGAAGATGGCAACTGGCAAGAGGGGATGGGATGCGATATTCAAGTCCTGAGAGCAGCTGTGCTTTTCCACCTGGCTCCTGCTGCTATAAGTGGAGTAGGATCCCATTGCGTGGCAGAGACGTTTGCAGACGCCGGGAGCTGGTGCTGCCCGCCCTTCCTTGGCCGTCTGTCTCTACTACGAGCAAATCTCTCTTCGCTGCGTCATCTCGGCTGAGGACAGGGTGGTGCGGCCTCGGGTTGTTGCTTCTGCTCCTTGCCTCTGGCACGGCTGTTCCTTTGTCTTTCCCAGGTCCCTTCTGGCTGGAGCAACGCTGCCCGCTTGGGCCTTGCTTCATTGCCAGCTCAGATCTAGGATTTTAGTCTGTTTATATTTGGGTGAATTTGGCGCTCAGGCAACTTGCCCACGGATCACAGGGTTTGGCGCTAGCTGTAGCGAGGGGAGTTGCTGCACCATCGACAGACGAACCTACTGGGGTTGTTACTCCGCTGGTTCATACCTGCAGACGCTGCTGATCGCACTCTAGGGGTTCTGTGATGGGGCATGAACGACTTGGTGATGCCCATCAGACCCAGGCTCTACGCTCTGGCACGGCCTGCTTTGTAGAGATCCTGCTCCACATTTGGGCCCTGGCTGGTCGTGGATTGTAATATTTGGAGCCGAACCTTCAGGGTAAGGGTTGGGTCTGGTGTCTCATGGTAGCAGGGGACTGAGCATTTGCGATGAACTGTAGCGTCTGGGGGGGCATCTGTCACACCTAGTCTTCCCCTCCGCGGCATCTCATCGGATCAGTGCTGGATTCTGGAGGTCCAATTGCCTGGGGCCCAGCTCTGAGTAACCCTGCCCTGCTCTCCCTCTCCGCAGTGCGGCTCTGCCGAGTACATGGCTCCCGAGGTGGTGGAGGCCTTCAACGAGGAGGCTTCCATCTATGACAAGCGTTGCGACCTGTGGAGCCTGGGCGTCATCCTGTACATCATGCTGAGCGGCTACCCGCCCTTCGTGGGGCACTGTGGCACCGACTGCGGCTGGGACCGCGGCGAGGCGTGCCATGCCTGTCAGGTGAGCCAGCCCCTCTGCCTGGCAGCCTGGCCCTTGTGTGAAAGGAGCTCTCTTAGCTAGCAGCAGTAGTAGGTCCATTATCCTGTCTGGCACAGCCCCACACACTGCACAGCCGACCTCCTTCAGCACGTTAGCCCCCGGCTGAAATAGCCACTTGAAGTCACCCCATGTGGCTTTCAGTGCAATGGTTTGACCTCTGGTTAAAGAACCCTCTCTCTGGCAACTAATCCTTGTTGGTCACGTAGAGCGACTTTGCTGGACATCTGACATCCGCTTTCCCTGCACACAGAGAATGCAGCTGGTAGGGTTGAGAGGGATAGCACAGTGGTTTGAGCATTGGCCTGCTAAACCCAGGGTTGTGAGTTCAGCCCTTGAGGGGGGCCATTTAGGGATCTGGGGCAAAAATCTGTCTGGGGATTGGCCTTGCTTTGAGCAGGGGGTTGGAGTAGATGACCTCCTGAGGTCCCTTCCAACCCTGAGATTCTATGAAGGTTGGAGATTCTCTGCTTAGCTTCAAGCCTCCCACTCGCCTTGGGAGGAGCTGCCTCCTAGGTTTAATCAGATTGCACGGAGGATCACTTTTACTTCTCTAAAAATAAACTTTGCTTGGGTGCCTCTTCTCTTCCAGAACATGCTCTTTGAGAGTATCCAGGAAGGGAAGTATGAATTTCCTGATAAGGACTGGGCCCACATTTCTTTTGGAGCCAAAGATCTAATTTCCAAGCTGCTGGTTAGAGATGCCAAGAAACGGCTCAGCGCGGCCCAGGTCCTCGAGCATCCTTGGGTGCAGGGGGTGAGTTCTGCTCTAAGGACGTTTGATTCCCCTTCTCATTGTCTCCTGAGCTGCAGATCTTGGAAGACACTCTTCTAACGTCTAACTTCATAAGATTCTGGAACTGATTGTGTGGGTTCTTGGCACAGCTGTGTAACACGGCTAGGAAGCTATGGCCATGTAAAGTCGGTGGGTCAGGCCTGGACTGAGTGACCTGAGAGAAGGGAAAATGGCATTAAAAATTAACTTATCTGGAGGCTCAAACTTCCAGAGAGAGCAGTTCCCTTAAACCAGCATTATGATCCTTCTTAGCACTTCTATTGAGCCTCCCACCTGGAGTTCTCAAAGTACGTGACAAACAGCTGAGCTTCATGATTTCCCCCGCTCCGCCCCACCCAGAGAGATGGATGGTTTATTCCCATTTCACAGCAGGGTAAAGTGAGGCATAGGGAATTGGGGGGAGGAATAGCTCAGTGGTTTGAGCATTGGCCTGCTAGACCCAGGGTTGTGAGTTCAATCCTTGAGGGGGCCACTTAGGAATCTGGGGCAAAATCAGTACTTGGTCCTGCTAGTGAAGGCAGGGCTGGACTCGATGACCTTTCAAGGTCCCTTCTAGCTCTATGAGATATGATTTGCCCAAGGTTCCTGGCGGAACCACACTAGAGCCTGGGACTCCTGACCTCTAGTCCTGTGCTCTAACTGCTCAACTGTCTGTCCCTAAAGAAAGAAGTTGGAGTCTTACAGAGCCATCGATGTAGGATTTATTGGTCTTGGGTACTTATCTGGCCCTGAGTGCTGGCGTATTGGAGCACCTCATAATCTTTAATGTATTTCTTCTGCGAGGTAGGGCAGTGCTATTATCCCCATTGTACAGATGGGAAACTGAGGCACCAAGCCACTACGGCCTGGATTCACCGTGGTATTCAGGCTCCTAGTGATGTGTCCAAGGTCACATAGGAAGTCTTTGGCAGAGCAGTAATTGAGTCCAGGTTTCCCACAAGCCAAGGTCACCCTACCAACTGGGGCCTCCTTCCACTCGACACCCACCACTTCTACTAGGAGGTGGTTTCATGGGTGTTGACTGCAGGTCCCATATCTGCTCCTGAGAGATGAGCTTTGCCACTCGACTCTAAATCTTGCTTCTGTTCTATTCCAGTGTGCTCCAGACAACACGCTTCCAACCCCCATCATCTTACAGAGGTGAGCGAGTCCTTTCTCCTGCACCCTGGCTGTGTACGCGCAGGGGGGTGGGGCTGCTGCAGAGAGAGAAGGTGTCTCTCGGCAGCTTTTGCAGTAGTTAGTGCAGTAACACGATGAGCTCATCAGCCAGTAGATCTTGCAGACCTGACAATCCAAAGCCAGAGTGCATTGGTGACGCCTGCACCATGGGGTGCTGAAGGTCCTCTGCCCGCCTCCCAGGAGCGCTGACACTCCCGTCCAGTCAGCCGAGGGAGACTAGAGGGGCCTTGGTGTGGACCAGGTGACCCCACTCCCTCTTCTGGAAGGCTTGCCCCATTGCCCCGTCACCTCCCTCGCACTTGTAGCCCCTGCTGGCCTGGTGAGGTGGGGCATCTAGACCCAGAACTTGAAGCAGGCTCTCCCATGAGGCAGTCCCAAGTCCTAACCAGCTGCAGGAGAACAAGACATTGGGGTGTCTTTGAGCCATCCTGTTCGGGTACCTACTCAGAACTTCAGGCCAGCTGAAGAGGCAGACCTGGAATAGGTTCCCTGGGGATCAAACACTGGGCCCGGTGCATGCTGGGTCACTGCTGTGGTTGCCTGTGCACCTTGAACACTGATTAAGCTCGTGTTTCCCACTCATGAATCTCTGCCTTGGTTCAAAGAGCGATGATGGGAATGGGAGACCTCCTTCGAGCAGCTGCTGCTCCGAGGGCGGGTGTCTCATGCCACCCGTCCAGCCCCTGCTCGCTGACCTTGGCCTGTCTCCCCCTCCAGGAACAGCAGTGCCAAAGAACTCACCTCCTTCGCCGCTGAAGCCATCGCTGTCAACCGTCAGCTGATGCAGCACGATGAAGACGAGGAGGAGGAGGAGATGCGACCAATCATAATCAAAGCTACCTCATGCTCCATGCAGCTGTCGCCCCCTTCGGAATCCAGGCTGGCCAAACGGAGGCAGAAGAGCAGCATGACGAAGGCGGGGGCTGTGAGCCAGCACCTCGTTGCTCCGTTAGTCCTGGTGGGCGATCACGCGTGATCGCCTGCCTGCTGTGGCCCCCCACCCACTCCCTGTACATATGTATGTGCTGTATACGGGCGTCGTCCTTTTTTTTTTTTAAATGCCGTTGTTAGCTAGCAACAAGATCAGGACTCTGTCCTATTGGCTGGTTTCCAAGGTTTCACTGATCTTGTAAGTTCCTTTGTTTTGTTTGTTTAAAAACTTTTTTTTTTTTAAAGGTATTAAATCAAGTGTGAGGTTCCTTCACCCAGGGCACATTTAAGGACATTTAACAGGCGACGTATGAACTTTCTTGACTTCTTTTTTTTTTTTTATTTTATTTTTTATTTTATTTTTTTTTCCCTACACCAAAGGACTATTTGTACAAGTGACGCTTTTACAACTTCAGCTCATTTCATACTGTGAAAAAACAAAAAAACAAAAAAAAGGACCCTCGGTTGTCTTTTTAACAACAAAAAGTAGCATTTTAACATTTATTTTTCCTAACGAGCTGCAGGTTTTTCTTTGAATTGGGGCTGAGATCAGTCAGCCGTGGGGAGCTCTTTTTTAAAAAACAAAAAAAAACCACAAACTGAAGACAAAAAAAAAAAAAAAAATCATTCCGGAGCTGGAATTGGCTGATCTAAGCTAAGGTGTTTAAAAGATAACGTGCCCAGGCATCGCACCTCTCAGAAAAAAGGGGTGGGGGAGGGAGAGGGTAGTCCTGAACCCTCATCCCTTCCAACGCTTCCCTTGCCATGGGGACTCCAAAATGCAGTGGGATGCCACAGGAGTGAGGGAGAGTTTGGTTGAAGCTCTGTTTGGAAAGTGGGTCTCTGTCGAATGCCAGGGCTTGATGTTGGGGCATGGGAGATTCTGTGGCATTGGAAGGGGGTGTCATTGTCAACGCAGGTGCCCCTGGTCCTGGAAGCTTAGTGCCCTCTGCTCCCGCTGAAGTCTATGGAAGTGGGGGGCGTTCTGCACCTCACCTGGAGAGAGAGAGAATGTGGTGCTGGCAGATGGATTTCTGGCTAGAAGAGAGGAGAGCTGTGCTCATGAGGGCAGTTCATCTCCCTGGTTTGGATTGAAACTCAGCTCCCTGCTCCAAGATAAGCTATTTCAACCACTTTAGGGTTTTTATTTTTCTTTAAACAGCCTAGTTGTGCTTTGCTAAAGCAAACCCTGCTTGAATAGGACGTTGAGAAGTGTCTTCCTTCGTTCCCCTAGGTTCTGTCCTTCGGACTCGGACTGGGAACTGAGTTGTACCGGCATGGTGCTTCCTAGGGTTAGATGATGTGCCAGGTACAGCTTGGATATGGGGGAGCGGAGGTGGGGACTGGTGGGATCTCCCCCAGTGTTCCCGGGTTTTTGAAACGTTCACATGCAGAGTTACTTCCTAACTCTGCGTGATAGGGCTGGTCCTGGCCTATGAAAGTCTGTAGGGACTTTGCCATGGAGCAGGATCCAAGCCTCTTCTGAAGGGTGAGTGAGCGCGTGCGTGTGTGTGAAGGGGGTCTCTGCCCCAGTTACTAGCTGCCAGTTTTGTGAAATCACACGAGCAGCTGGGTTCCCGGTAAACGGCAGGATCGACTCGAAGCTCTTGTCCTTACGGACTGTGGCTGGCGAATCCCCTGCCTCGGAAATAATCTGGTGCTTTTAAAAAGGAAAAACTGGTTCTTGCTTTCAGTGAGCTTTCTGTCCTAGGGCAACGAGCTGACCATTCAGGGAGAGGATCCGAAATGGTTTTCAGTCTTGCTGACTCAGTGACTCCTGGAAAGCAGCTCTGTCGCTGGGAGGCAGAAGCAAGTGAAAAGGAGTGTTGTTTCCGTGGGATCTGTGTCGCTTAAGGGGTTCCATGGTGTATTTCATTTATTTTGAAATGCAGACCTTCCCAAGGCTCCCCCTCAAGAGGGAGGAGATGCTTATTCGAGGTGCGATCAGGAAATCCAATCTCTGGCATTGGATGGGCAGGAGGTATACCTGAGGCGGGTTTCTGGGTCTTCATGCCGACGCAGAGGTGGACTAGAAGAGGAAGAGCTTTAATATTAGTCTTTGAGGGAGGCCTGGTCTTGTGGAAGTTGAGTTTTTGAGTTGAGAAGCTTGCAGGGGAGCATGGTCAGTCAGCAGGGCCTCTCGGGGAGGTCTGAATTGGAGGGGAGCGTGTGTGGTTCGAATGCGCCTTCCGGAGGTTCCGTGGAAGTGATTTTTCTGAGTTGAATTATGACACAAGCCTTCCCAAGCGGAGGCTGACCAATCAGGACGAGTCTGTCAGTGGTGCTGTAGCAGGGGTCCTAGGTGAGCCTCAACAACCCTCCTTGCCCGTGGTGTATCTCGTGCTTCCATTTGTTCTGACGTCTCTTATCTAGTTTCCTGATCCAGCCTGGCGTGTAGCGCCTTCCCTTTCCTTGATTTCCTCTTGAAAAAATTAGTGTTATGGGCCTGATCTTTCAGAAGCACTGACTCTTCGATGGGGGCACGCTGGGGCTTGCGCACGCCCAGATGTTCTGCAGATGAAAGCCCCATATCTCCCTGTGGAATGTCAGGCTGGATTTGCCTGCCCTTGACGGTGGTGCAGATGGAGAGTAGCGCCACCGAGCTCGGTGTAGCGGTGCCGGTGTGAAACGGGGAGTGAGGTGAACTCAGTGGCTTCATTCCGCCTCCCCTGAAGCCCCTCGTTTAAACGAGGCCGGCGTGTTTGTCGGAGCCTGGCAAGACGGAGGGAAACGTGCCTCCTGCAAATTACTGGTCTCCCTTTCTCTCTAACTGGATGCATCAAGCTTTATCGTTTAAAAGCCACCTCAAACTTCTCATCTAGGCACAGCTGGAGGTTTCTGGAACCTTTTGAGTTGGGAGTGCAGCCAGACTCCCCTGAATTTTGGTGTAAGCGTGATGCTTTCTCAGACTGAGGCTGTTCTGGGTGTCCCCCCGTCCCCCCCCCCCAAACTGCTGACAGCAATACTATGCAATATATGTTCTGTTTATTTCAGGGAGGCAATTGTGAATAGCATCAGGGGTTTGCTGATCATTGGGTGTTTGGATCTCGATGACGCTTTGCGAAGGCAGGGGAATGTAAACTATAACCGTTCCCTACCCTGTTCTGCAGAAGCAATTTCACTTCATCTGGAAGGGAAACAAATCCATACATATTCTTGCTTACGATGATCAGCACTTGCTTCCCTTGACCGCAGAACTCCAGGGTGGCAAGGAGAATATGGGGGAGCGCTGTATTGGAAGCAAGGGGGTACTGTACCTCGAAAAACAGGCTGCAATACTTCTCGAGACCTCCTTTAAAAAAAAAAATCCATTATCTTGATTGTACATTGTTACTTTTTTATAGCTTATTTTGTTTTTATCAGTTGTAGATAATTCCTTGTTGTCTTATATTAAGAAATACTTGAATGATGTACAGTATGCGATGCCTCGAGCTGGTATTGTGAAAGCTATTGTAATGCTGCAGGTTGCAGCCTTTTTAAAAAACAAACATGGGAAGGGATTTGCAGGGGGGGAATGTTTTGGTTTTCCATGATTTTGTTGGCAAACTTCCCCGTTTCCCACCTATGAAACTTTTTTTCCTCCGCTGAAAGGCAGCCTACAAAGGCAAGGGAACTGGGTTGACCTTTCTTTGCTGCTTTGATGGGTAAAGGAGGTCTGGGGTCTTCTGGCCTCAGAAAAATCAGGGATGTAGGCCTGGGGTTGCCTGGTTTTGCTGGAGGACTGGCTGAAGATCTCAGTCCTCAGCTGGGGTCAGATCTGGCCGTCTACGCTTGCTGACGATCTGCCTCCTTACATATTTTGTGAGCTTTTTCTTCTCTTGGGGGAGATGTTCAGAGTCACAGAGGGCACTTTTAGGGCCGTTAGGCTCCTATCTGTGCCTCTGAAAATTTACCTCTTTAAAGAGGTGACAGCCTCATTCCACTGATTATCAGGGGAGCTTTTCTGACTGCTTGCTCGGCAGTTTGTTTTAAATCCACACCGGTTTAACTTGGTGTTTAAAAGTCAGTCCAAATACGATTCCCTTTGTTTCGCTGGCATGGTGCATCTGGCGCAATGCTAGCAGTTCTCCCATCAGCCAAAGTCTTCCAGGAAAATCTGTAGGCAAGACCCCGGATTGCTAATGAAGGAGAAACGCTTTGGAAGAAACTTTCATGCCATTTAAGAAACAAATAAGCAGCCCAGTTACCCTTTCCTTTCTCGGTTGCCTTTAAGAAGCACACTTGCTCTGAGGAAGTGCACAAGGCAGTGTGTGTTTGGAGGGAATTGTGAAATGCCTTGCACACTTGGGCTGAGAATTCAGCTTCATTTAGGCACCTGCATGATGAGACTTTATAGTATTTGGCCCCAAGTAGCTGCCATTATTCAGTGGGAGCAGAGGGCTTCATTGAGGGCGTCTAAGTGGGAGACGTTGGGTGCTCAGGTCTTTTGAAAAATGTGGCCCTTGGTCTGTAGGTGTTAAGACAGAAGAGACGCTAATGCTAGTGCCCAGGATTGGGCCCGCATCCCACCTCCCCACTGGTTACTTTCCCTTGGTTTTGTTTCCAAAGACAATGCTTGCTCAGAATCTTTCTCTCTAGCACTTAAATGGTTCTGTGCCCAGTTTTAACCCTGTCTTGCCAAAGTCCTTTATTTTTTTTAAACCCATGTTTTCCTCCTTTATTATTTTTTTTTTAAAGCCTTTTTCTCTCGTAAAGCATCTGTCTTGGAGACTTTTTTTTTTTTTCTTTTCAAAAAGTTTCTTGCAAGTTTTAGCAGGAAATTTAAAAAAATATATTTTTTTGCTTATTTCCCCCTTGGTCCTCCTTCAGTCAATTAACTCAATTTAGAACTGGTTAGAAACTTTTACTGTGAATCTGACTTTTTTTATCAATACAGGAGAAAACGCTTTCTCCACTTTACAATTGATGAAGACTGCCAAAGCTGGGTTTGACATAAAATCACCTTAACGCACTGTTGGTTTCTACAATGGATGCCTCGAGCCAGGGGCTGGTTTAAAAATAAAAACTAAAGTAAAAACTAAAAATAAAAACAAAAATGAAAAAAAAAACAAGCACTTTATTGTATGTACCAGGTGAACTGATACAGCTCAATCGAAGTTTTCCTTTGTAACAACTGTTGATGCCAGAATTTTGTATTCTGTTTTGTAAGAATTTAATAAATGCGTTGAAACCTACCGGAGAATACTTGGCAGGTTTTTTTTCATATGTCTTGCAGTAGTGTCTAGGAGCCCCAGTCACGGATCAGGGCTCTGTACGTGTTGTGGAAAGACAGGACCATTATCGGTGCACTAAAACCTACGGCCCTGCAGGAGATTCTGGGGTTAGGTCTTGTCCCTCTGTGCATCCTCATCAGTGATGTGGAAGGGGGAATGACCCTTTAGTGAAATCTGCAGCAAACAAGCTCAAGTGGTCAGAGATTAGAATCACAGGTGGAAAAGTACAATGTCGCTAATACATCTCGAGGGAAACCACTCTGCAAAGCGGCCGAGGACTGGGGACGGAGAGGCAGAAGAGCTGAAAGAAACATTGGGGCTGCTAGACCCAGGTTTGCAACGTGGCAGTGGGGCGAGGTGATTTTTAGGGTGCAGATGCCAAAGGATCCCGGCTTGCAGCGGCAAGGTAATGATCCCTCTCGAAGGTGCTGGTGTCAAGCTGTAAACTGCCTACCCTTGCAGGGCAGGGCCTTTTCAGCACTGATTTGGCAGCTGAGCTCGAGGCAGGGTGCTGGTGCTCGCCTTGATACCCTCTGCCGTGGAGTGCCCAGCGTTGGCTGTCGACCCTCTCAGCTGGTAGCGCTTCTGCCTGCCCTGAAAATCTGACGGTTGAGTTGAGTGAGGTGACATGGCATCGATTAGGCCTGCAGCTGGTTGCTTCAGGCTGCAGCATTGGCTCTACTCCTGTTGAAGAGGTGAGTGTGCCCCACGTCGCCGTGCGACTCCGCATGCGGGAGCAGGGCCCGTCCCTGCACCAGTGTGCTTGGCTCTGGTGCGACCGCGCCTGGAGTGCTGCACTTAGCGCTGGGTGTCCGAGGCTGACGAGCGGGAGGGAGTTGAGACAAGTGCAGCAGAGAGGGTCGGGGGGCTGGAGGGACTGACTTAAGGGGTAAAGGTTAAAAGCGCTGAATACGCTTCGCATGGCTCAGAGGAGAGAAAGCTGCAGCTTAAGCTAAACTCTAAGGAGGGGGGAGAACTATTGCATTGGGTGCGGGGGGTGTCAGAGCAATTGGATGAAACTAAGCACAGGAAACTTCTGGCTGTTTCAGCAAAACCGTCCCTGCCACCTGTACTGGGCCGGCAGTCACCTCCTGTCGCTTTGGGCTTTTGGGTCTAAACTGCCTAAAATGTGGTCTAGGGGCTCAGCCCTGCCTTGGCCGGGGGAGTAATTGGCTGGTCTAACCCAGGGGTGGCCAACCTGTGGTTCCGGAGCCACACGCGGCTCTTCAGAAGTTAATCTGCGGCTCCTTGTCTAGGCACCGACTCCGGGGCTGGAGCAACAGGCGCCGACTTTCCAATGTGGGGGGGAGAGGGGGAGACGCTCACTGCTCAACCCTTGGCTCTGCCACAGACCCTGCCCCCACCGCACCCCTTCCCGCCCCCTCCCCTGAGCCTGCCCTGCCCTCGCTCCTCTTCTTTTTCCCCCCCCCCCCCAGCCTCTGGAATCGGGAGGGAGGAGGAGGCACTGATGGGTGGGTGAGAAGCGTGGGGAGGGGGAGCTGATGGAAGGCTGCTGACGTATTACTGTGGCTCTTTGGCAATGAACATTGGTAAATTCTGGCTCCTTCTCGGGCTCAGGTTGGCCGCCCCTGTTCTAATCCGTCTTCTCCGTTTCCAACTGCTGTGATTCCATGATCCAAGTTTACATGGCCAATCTTGCTGGCCCCCGAGCTGGCAGGGACTGGGAGTGTGGTACTGGCTGCACGCTGGGCCCATGTGCAGCACCTTTCCTCACCTGCCTGGGCCAAAGGTAGAACAATGTTCTGGAGCCCTACAACGAGAATGGGGGGGGGGACACACGTTCATGCAGGAAGCTTACGATGCCAGGGCATTCTTCCCTTGGCGTAAATGACGCCTATCGCAGCCTTTATTCAACCAGGCTTTATTACTGATGACCATTTCCAGCAGTGGAAGTGAGAGGGGGCCCCAGTATGTGTCGAATGGAGGGGCCTTGGGACTGAAATGGGGGGTGTCCCTTGCCTCCCTCTTAAAACATCCCTCATTGCATGTGCAACTGCCTCTCCTTGCTAAACAGTGTCCCCTGCTGGCCATTTCTGGCAACACTCAAGCATCCCAACTACAGCCCTGCGCGGATACAAAATTTGAATCTTCATCTGATCCCCGCTCCCCAGATTTGCAGGGCTCTATCCCCGGCCACCAGAAAGGGAGATAGTTGGGTGTGAATACCGCCATGTATCTAGCACTTTATATTGCCGTAGTGCTGTATGAGCGCCTCCCTCCCTTGCCACCGAGGTAGCTATTCTCAGTTCACAGATGGGGAAACTGAGGCACAGAGCGGTGGAGCAACTTGTACCCAAGTCTTCCCACACAGAAGCTGACGAAGTTCAGACAGGCGCTCTGGCTCGCTGCATGACTCTGCCAATTCCACAGAAGATTTTTAATGTGTGGCTGGTTTTGATGTGGTCAGAAAAAAGGAGCAAATTCCCTTTTGCAGGTGTGGGGTTAGGCCGTTATTAAAAATGGAAAAACCTTGCTGGGACCTTCCTACCTGCTGTGCTTTTGTCAGATAGGACAGAGACCAAAAAGCGCTGCCTGGGTTTGTGGGATTTTTTTTTTTAAATGGCATGAAAATTCTGGGATACGGATGGCATTATGGGAGGAGAAAGTTGCAAGCTGGAGAGCCCTGGGCGAGGAGTTATCTCACAAAACATTGCAGAAATGTTCCAAAGGGCACTGCACTTTACGTGGCCACAAGCCCTCCTGGTGGGTAAGCGCGGTGCCAGTGCCAACAACTAAGCGTGCACGCACCTGAGCGACGTGCTGAGCTGTATGTCGACCTCACTTGTGTTAACGAAGGATTGTAAAGCAGACCAAGCCTTCGGTTGGAAGCTCTGCGGGGCAGGGGCTGTATTTTTGTTCTGCATTTGTGCAGTGCCTAGCACAATGGGGGTCTGGTCCATAACAAATAATAATTGTTTAAGGGTAGGGTGACCAGACAGCAACTGTGAAAAAATGGGGTGGGGGGTAATAGGCACCTGTATAAGAAAAAAATGGGACTGTCCCTATAAAAACAGGACATCTGGTCACCTTATTTAAGGGTGCTAATGTTTTTTTGCAGGAATGTTTAAAAAAAAAGTGCATTTTAAGTCTCCTGTGAAAAAACGTTTGGTTTTCAATTTCCGTGTTGTCAATTTAAAATGGTTACTGAAATGAATATTTTCCCCCAACATCTTCATTATGATCAAAACTTTTTTTTTAAAAACAGCTTTTTATTTTTAAAACCAGGCCCATTCTAGTTACGACTGTGTTCTGACATGGGGGGCTATCGGGCACCTTCCTCCGAAGCCTGTTTTACAGACAAGGAAGCAAAGGGGCAGAGGGTTAGTGACCCGCCCGAGGCACGAATGAGTTAGTGTCAGAGAAAGGAGTAGAAGCCATGGGCTTTTGAAAGCACGCAGTGCTGGGCTAACTCTGCTGCCGTTCGAATCAATGGGCATCGAAGATTTGTGTGGCTGCCTCGTTCTTCCCCTTTCAGAATCAAACTCTTTGTACGACCTTGGCAAGAGTGTCATGGATGTGGCCTGAAATGGCCCAATCACCTGTTCTCCTCTCCCTGCAAGGTTTGAATTTAGCAGCTGAGTCAAATTAACCCACTCAGGAGCATAACCGGAGAGAAGCGGCCGTGTTAGCACGTGCTTCCCCGTTTACCATTCAGTGATGCCACAGGCCAGGGAGATCAGCCATCAAGGTCATTTTAATGGCTCGAGACAGGTTCTCTTCCCACCTCTCGCATTTCTTCCCCCTCCATTTTGTCCTAAATGCATCTGCCACAGCTGCCTTTCTCCTCCAGTTGCTTTGGTCACACCATACCGTTTGCCCCTGTCCTTCTAACCCACTCTCCCTACAGATCCACTCGACTGCTCCCATGTTTCAGCTTCATGCCTTCCAGCCTGGTGTCCTCTACTGGGACGGTCTTCCAATTCTTGCCCACCGAGTTTCATCCTTTAAATCACTCCTTAAAATTCTCTACTCCCAGAAATCCTTCCTCCCTTAACCTCCTCCCCTACAACCTCTTCAGACTCTCCACACCATACATTCTTTATCTCAGCCAGATATCGGCCACGTTAAAGTCAATGGGAGGTTTGCTGTTGACTCATAGAATATTAGGGTTGGAAGAGACCTTAGGAGGTCATCCAGTCCAATCCCCTGCTC